CTGGCGCTTTGTTGTGGCGAGTGCATTTCCCCGCACAGGCATGGATTTGTTGCTCGATAAGTAGGAAACTGCCTGATTCGGTGATTGCTGGGTACTCTGGCATCGTCCTCTGTGTCATGAGTGTCACCGAATAGGGTCCTTGTAGTTAGCTCAGTAGTTTCCTGGAGCGTGATGATCACATCGACGGCTTCAATAATGTCAATCACATTGAATCCTGTACCAGCTTCGTTTCCCTACTTTATGACTTGGCTGCAGATGTTTTCTGTGAATTTGGAGAGGATCAGGCGTCTCCATACTCGGTCTGCATTCATTGGTACTCCAGCTTCTTCCAGGTGTACGATGCGAGACGATATGGCACTGAGCGTATTGCGGCAACTTGTCGAGCTTCCTTGAGCCCTAGGCAGGTGCTCGATCTCGTTGATCAAGATGTCCGCTATACTAGACGATCTGTCGTATTGTTTTTTGAGAATGCTAACTGCGGCGTTGTATTTGTCCCCAATGACGGGGATACTGCTGATTGAGGCCGCTGCTTTTCCTTTCACTGCCTGCTTGAGAAAGAGGAATTTCTCCTGATCGCTCAAGTCCACATCGTTATGTATGAGGGACTCGAATACTGACCAGAAAGTATTGAACTCTCTGAAGTTCCCGGTGAATGTTGGGACTTCTAGCAGAGGGCGTCGCTACACAAACATTGCGCTCATACGAGTTGGCAGTTTCCGCTCCGCTGAATGAGTTCTCTGGCTGCTGACAGCCTGGTTGGTGACACTAGAAGCTTCCGTGATCAGGGAGGCTTGTTGTGCCAGCTCCTCCTTTCTGAAGTTGATCTTGCACATTCATTGAAGCGTCTCGATTTCCAAGCAGTTAGACTCTAGTTCCAGGTGGTTATTCAAGTCCAGCATTAGCTTCTCTCGTTCCTTTTGCTCCGATCGCAAACTTACTGCTTCGATTGCTTTTTCAACGTAAGTGTCATGCTCTTTTGCTGTTTTGATTGTTGTCATCAAGTGATTCAGCTGAGCCGTTTTCTCTTTGATGTAAGCTTCACATTCGTCCTTTTGAGGAGGGAATGCAAAAGGTAGGTCCAGCTGCTTCAGATCTGACTCGCTTGATCGTGTGAGCTTGCACGCAAGCGTAATCTTGGTTTTGAACAACTGGATTTCAGCCATTTTGTCCTCGTCGACTTTTCTAAAGAAAAGAGGTCTTCTCGTCTTCTGTTGCTCTTTGGCACGATTGTTTCGCAACCATATGAGTGAAGCTCTGTATCTTCCACTGTATTTGGTTGAATTTTGACTTCCGGATGGTTCCGTGTAAGATGATGTTTCCTGCCACGCGGGTCTTCTGTATGCTTCTCTCGGCTTCCTCTGGGAGGACGCACGAATTTCGGTTTCCCCGATCCTTTTGAAGGAGTCTCGGTGAAACTTCCGAGTTTCTTCTCTGTATGTGAGGAAGAAACTGGTTTTGCCTACCGCTCCCTGCTGTGGAGGAAGTACGATAGGTCTTTCGATGGAGTTTCCCACGTCCTTGGTTGGAGTTGTGAGAAAACTTTGAAGATTCTTTCCTATGAATTGGGAAAGAATGTGTTTAGTCGTCTGTTTCTCTTGAAGAGAACTAGCGCAGACAACTAAGCTTGGCTTCCTCACGTCCTTGGTCGGAGTCGTGAGAAAAATTTGAAGATTCTTTCCAATGAGCTGGAAAGAATGTGTTCATTTTTCTGTTTCTCGTTGAAGGGAACTAGCGCAGAAAATTGAGATTAGTCTCCCGGCACCTTCTGGAGCTAACTCGGTGAGACTGTTGTAGAAGTTAGTATTCACGTCCTTGGGCGGATCGTGAAACTTTCTGGAGTCTTCGTCTAAGTTTCCCATGTCCTTGGTGGGAGTCGATGGGAAGACTTGAACGATTTCCTTCTCTCTCTCACTGACGAGAGCTAGCGCAGAAGGGGCGGAAGGTTCAACACCGGCTGATGCACCAATTTGGTGTTTTACCAATGAAAGCACTTGCACGTGTAAATATTTGTTACGACGTGCTCGTACCGAACCGTATAACCGACAAAATACAACAGAACTAGGCTTATATACAGGCGAATGTGGGCGGTGCTCAGGTATCGTACCGATGGCGGTACTTAAAATAAGAGTTAAAAGAGCGCACCGTCCCAACGGGAACATAACCTAGTCATCCGGGCAGTTGATTAGGGCGGTCGTCAACGGGCCGCAGCGCGTGCCAGGAACTATTTGCTTTTCCAGGCTAATTTAGTCATTTTTTCCACCTTGTGAAGATAAAGAGCTGCTAATCTGGGAAAATGTAGCCAAAACAGTGAAAAGTTGGAAAAAATGACTAAATTAGTCTGGAAAAAGCAAACAGTTCCTGGCACGCGCTGCGGCCCGTTGACGACCGCCCTAACCAACTGCCCGGATGACGAGGGTATAGAGTATCTACTTGATAACGCACCTACGATACTGCTAGGTCATGCCTGCGGTACGATTTCAAGGGTGCTTATCTAGGGAGTGCAATTGAGTGGAGCTAATATCTTATCATTCACTTTGATAGGCTGACTCTATAATATACTACTTGAAGGGTTGTGAATCCACAACACTAGCTATGAAAAAGGTTAGCTGAGGGATCTACAGCGATGAATCGCATTGGCTTTCTCACCATCAGAGGGTTTGACTGATGTAAAAGATGAAGGAAATCAGAGGAAACAGTGAGTAAAAGTAGGGTTACTTATCACTTTTAGTGCACAATTTTGCAACAATAGCAACAATATGATGAGAGAAAAACCCGTTTTCTGAATCGCCGTTTGCGCCGGTACACTACAAATCCAAAAGATGAGGAAGCAGGGCACATCATTGGTTGGAAATTTTAGTCAAGTCTGCACGACCCCCCCCCTCCTTTTTTTTGGGAGGTTGAGACGAGCCCCCCCCCCCTTCGGCCGTCTGTTCCTCCTTATCGAATCGAGCCTTCGAGCGGGGAGGAGAGGTCCCCAAAAGTCAACCACCACTGCTACAACGCCAAAACGTAAATACGACCCCCTCCTCCCAACAATGACCAGTACGACCCCCCCCCCTCTACAACGTCCGTGAAGCAAGAAAAATCAACTATCAAAATAAATTTTCCCAGCCCAAATACGACCCCCCTCTCCTGGCGGCCAAATACTCCCCCCCCCCATTGGGGATTCCCCAACAACGATGTGACCTGTGAGGAAGGCGCAGCCCTGTCCTTCAATGGCTGCGCGTTTGGTACGATAATGCATTTTTGGGACAGTGGCGAATATGCCTTTGTCCAACACAAGACAGGGTAGGAGTTGCTTCAACTGGGAACAACCCAGGAAAACTTCTGTACAGCGCTCAAACAAGGAAGCACGCAGCCACGCTCTTCTCATCGTTAGGTATGAAGTGCATGTATCGCATGGTATTGATAAACATGGGAGAAATGAATGGCACAACAGCTGACTTCGCAGGAAGGTCATAAGGAGTGCCACAGTACAGACAATATAAGGCATAAAATCGAGATCTGCCGCGCCTGCACGTCTTTTCATCTCATTTTCCATATTTCCTAGAAGAAAGCATCAAATGTATCCTCCTAGAAGGAAGCATTGAACGCATCATCAGAGGCTAGCTTCCAATTAGCAAAACTTTGGGTAAGCTCAGAAATATGCCATTTAGGACGGAATAGGTCGAACCAGAGAATAAAATTAAAGGCAGTTGGCACGATAAATCCTCAAGGCGACTAGGATCAATACTCCTGGCAGGATAGAATTCCGCGACCCTGGGCAGGCGCTGCATAGCGGTTTCCCCGAGGAAGGTGCCCTTATAAGCGGCTTATCAAGCCACAACGTCACGTCCCAAACGCTCGCTCACTAATGGACGACCGTTCCTGATGCTCTACTCGATTCATTTGCTAAGCAAATTATGAAGCGAAGGGATTGCTATGAAGCGACCATATGCTGCATGCATACATGGGTACACATATGCAGCCATACCTTCGGTAGCGGTTATTGGCAAGATGCCTACGGGAAACTCGTCCGAAATCGATTTTTAACACATTAGGAACGGAGGCTCTTTCTTCGCAAGATTTTGACCGTTTCAGTCCGCCATTTCCCCACTATGGAGCGCCCTACTAGCATTTTTGGCCGAGCACCAAATCATCGTGCCAACTGCTTAAGGAGGGGGGGGGGCCGTTCCTGTTGTCGTACCGAACAAAGTTCCGTACGACAACAGGAACGGCCTCCTTCAGTCCTTCTAAAATGGTACAAAGATAAGATGATCACCCAGAACTCACTATGTTTTCCACACTGGCGCTTTCCTTCCTTCCCGCTCCGTAAAGGGTCGAGAAAGCGAGCGCGCTTATGAAAACAAGCACAGTAACAGTCCGGTTCCTCTCCTACAATGAGAGCTGAATCCGCGCCAAGTTCGAGGCCACGATTTTTTACGGTAATTAGGAAGAGTCACTGTGCGGACGCACTGTGTTGTTTTTCATACTGAAGTAGATTTTGAGAAAATACAGTGAAATTAATTCTTCAAGGTTGAACAAGAAGAAAACCCTGTTTCCATCACGCGCTCTACAGAATTTCAAACCCCGCCCACTCTCTTTACATGATATGGAATTCACTTCCTCTTCAAATGCACCGAACACAGTAAAATGCAGGAAATCAACCTAGAGTGGACGTAGCGATTTTGAAGGATTCCCACCTTTATTCATCTTCTTAAAAATACTCCAGAGTTGTCTCAGATTTACTTCAGTTTCTACACACAAAACAGTGAAGAATAGGTTCCTGTCATAATAGTATGCGGAACGTTGCAGAAAAAAAATTCGGATTTGACAAAGCACTAGAGCGAGATCATTCGGAAACAATGATATTATGCCACAAAATAAAAAAGTTGAAACATGCATAATCATCAACTATCAACTATTTTACCAGTCCTTGAGTAAGGAAAAATAAAGTAAAAATCATCTCCATGTATTATCGAAAATGTAAGATAGCTAGTTATTACCGATAATTATCATTATTAGTACTTAAGAACACGTCTATTTGAGTGCTTGGATTGGTAGTGAGCAATGACATCCCGAGCAGCATACTGTTGGGTTGGGGTAAGAGTATCAGGAACTTGTAGAGTGGCTAGCTCGAAACCTGAAAGAAAAACCGGAAAACTTACAACAAAAGCTATAAAACTGTATAAATAAAGGGTTCTGGATACGCCATGCATCTGATAACCATCTAGGGTCACAGTAATGCCTATTCAGTCCACAGTAAGATCAGTCAATCAAATTTCTCACCCCGAACCAGCTGCCGGCAATGTATGACCCAACATAAAGACACCTTCCAAAATAGTTTTTGAGATGTGATCTGCACCCCATATGAGACATGATATTTGAAAAAAGCCATCACAAAACCTCTCAAAATTTCTCAACAAATTATGTGGCCCTCATTAAAGGCAGCGCCCACGTCCATTTGACGTTCCCACGCCCTCTCTGGATATCATAGCTCTTCCTATGAGGATGCAGTATGTACTAGTTATGACTCTCAAAAATGCGAGAGGATAGCGTCGTTTGCTAGCGAAGAGTCGGCCGCCCTTCCCACCTGGCCAGCATGGGATTCTGTGTGGGGCATTTTCCATCATTTTTCTCTGCTTTTTTCTTCACTAGTGGATCACGTATTATATGAGCTCCATAACTCATAATTCTTCAAAGCGAGCTCAGCCTTTGAAGGCTAAGCCAAAACAGTTATGACAGCTGGGTGGGCGGGCGCCATCCTCTTCACAAGCGGGTGGCGCCATCCTCTCGTATTTTTGAGCTGCGAAATTGGTACATCCTCCACCCTTGTCGACAAAGCTACGATAAGTACTGCCTTTGATAAATTGTCGACGAAAAAAAAGTTCGAGTGGAAGGAAAACCTCAAAATTCGTCAGAACAGGTGCAAGGTGACCTTGTTTTCGGAGTTCTTCGAACTGTTCCTCTGTCAGTGAATCACACGGTACCACTTCCTCTGCATAAAAACGCCTTTGGATCATGTGATTCGCATAGAAAGTACGGTTCTGAAAAAGAGCGACGATTGAGGCTGAATTTCGAAACAACGAGAAAGCTTTATCTCAAGCGATGGGCTTATTTTATTGGTCAACTACGGCCCGGCCGTTCACTACATGTTCAAATACTAGGGTCAAGACAATCATAATTTGCCCGTCAATCGCGCGCTGCGTTTTCTCACTCGCGTTGGTCAGTCGAATGCAGCACTGATTCAATGGAGGATAGGATATCAGTTTCATTTATTGCTATTTTTGGTTGTACACTGCCTAGTGTCGATGTGTACGACCTAGAGACATCCTCAGTGCGGGCGCGACATCGCACGCGATGCCCACTAACGCGGCGAGTTACGATTGTCCTGTCACATGCCCGCTCTACATTCCGTGGGTGTCATTATTCACGAAACGTAACCAAGACAACTGGAGCTCCAGTAATACTCGAGAAATGGCACGCCAGTGTGGTTATCAGGGAGACCGCGGCTAGAAAACTGGCCAAAGTCAAACAGCATTGGGTAACACGACATAATCTGTACCGCTTGGTGATTCTAAGTGCAACTGAAGGAGCCCTTTTACTCTGTCCTTCTCCTACTTTCTCAGTGGCCTCTTCCCTATTCCTATCAGTTGTGTATCCACTTCAATCAAAACAACTCGGTTCACAGAAATGAGGTGGTAATGACAAGTGGGACGCTTACCACGTGCACAGTTCGACGATAGTCGCGGACTGGCTCCTGCTCAGGCCAACCGAGCCTCCTACCATTTGGGAACGGTAAATTGATAAAAGATTCGTCTGCGGTGGAAAAGGACACTAATTTACATACCAGCTGGCCCCCCGCAAGTCGTTGCATAAGCCACATCGCATTCAATAAGCCAAAACGAGTCTGAATGGAAGCAGAATGCGTGCGGCATCCCAAAAAAGGGATTGATCAGCAGCGATGACTCGATTCCAATGTTAAGAAATGGGAAAACAAACAAACAATTTCTCTGACGTATACAGGAACGATCTCAAAACCACTGCTGACCGGTTGTCGAAATGCGCCACGCCCATATTTCTCCATGAAACCATCCTCTATACTCAGGTGTGCAGACCTGTTTACGCAGACTGAAAGTAAGCACCTTCTTGAGCAGTTCATTCAAAAACAACAAAAAACATTAATAATTACAACTGCAGAGGCTCTCTCAGATGACATCAAGATACTTTACGTTTCAATAGTGCATAATACTATTGTTGTTATATTGCATAATAGTACTGTTGTTATTCTTAGGCCAAGAAGTATTCTGTAAAAAGAGAAAACAAGAATTCCGAACTGGCTTGATCATGAGAAACTGGTAGAAGCAAATTTCTGCTCAAAGCCTATCAAAAACAAAACTGTACACCCGAGACGGTCCCTTTCAAGTGCGATGTGAATGAGCCCGCAGTAGCCTGCCACTTTCTTCGCTTAACACGGGAACGGAAAATAGTGGTACCGCGTGCCGTCCCCGTACTCCGCCCGCGCTATCCTCAATGTGCTGCACATGCAGCATTTGCGCTGATACCAAGGTGCACTCAGTAGTCAGGAACAAGGGCGCAGATGAAAAGCGCGTTCCGCTTTGGTTAGGCGTGTGCATGGTCTTGCGGCAGCGCGGGGGTATGGAGACGGCACGCGATATCACTACCTCCCCACACCGCAGCGAGCACTTTTGACCAGCGTAAGTGGGACGCAACCGCAGCAGCGAACCCATGCATCTCACACATGGTAACGACCACGATCTGTGGAGGAGTGTGCATAAGAAGACTCCAGGAAGCCTTCCAACTTTTTGGTTAAACAGTCTTCAAAAAAGTGAAAACTCCCATATATCAACTTTTGAGCACATCACTACGGGTGACACCAGCACCATATCCTTAGACATATCCCTGGTCAATGTCCCTGCAAACAGAGGGTGTGGGAAAGAGCGTGGATATTAGGGCGCAGCCTATTCCACCAAGTGATCCCGTACAAAGCTGGCAGCAATTGGTGAAGAAGGCTGTTAGGCTGCGCTCCAATCCACCCCAGGACATCCTTTTGGGGAATCCCAACAGGGGGGTCTATTTGGCCGCAGGAGAGGGGTCGTATTTGGACTGGAAAACATTTATTTCGATAGTTGATTTTCTCGCTTCGCGGACGTTGAGGACAGGGGGGGGGGTCGCACTTGCTCACTGTTGCGAGGGGGTTTCTTTATACTTTTTGACCTTTCTAGAGTGGTGGCTGACCTTGCGTGATTTCCGTTTCATGCGTGCTATATACCCCCCCCCGCCCCCTCGACGACTCGATTCGATGAGGAGGGAGAGGGGCCAGTGAGGGAGGGGGGGGGTCGTACGACTCGACTAAAATCCTCAACCGATGATGATGTGCAATGATCCACCCCCCCCCGCCCTCCTCCCTCACGCCCCTCGTTACATTGATAATGACTGTACAGAGGTCTTCACATAGAATTAGCGCGTCGAACTATTTCACTGAACACGTACCTTCTCTCTGCACAGTGTGCCATGATTAGAGGTATTGCGCGCAACTGTCAGTTTATTCTTCGAAGTCGTAACGGATCGTTCTCCATGAGATCGCTTTTTCTCCTTAACACGTTACTAACCAATGAAAGTCTAACATGGATTTTCTACTCAAACTGTTTCTACAAAAATGTTTCGAATATTCGAATATCCTTGACTCAAACGGACGTTATGAGCATTTCTCGATACAAACATCGGTGTGAGACTAGTCTTCAAGAAGGTCGAACATGGCAACATTAACTTGAACTAACACAGGCTAGATTAGAGAATGAATCAATACTATTATGTTGCTTACAGACACCCCTTCGACTGCGTACGTTAAGAGTGCGTCTGCGCGCTGCAAGGTGGGCAGATCCGTTGCAATAGATGTCGCCAAACACAAGCGCTAACGTGATGTGGGCTATGGTCAGGCATTATGGCTGGCCGTATCGCGTGAGTTCAATTTGCGTGTTGCATATTGAATGGCGAACGAAGGCATAAAGGATATCAAGCAAACGACGAGCGTCCATCTTCACTGGCACACAATTTTGAATTGGCGGGAGTGCTAAACTTGTATGCTGCACACTTCGTACATGGAAAGGATCGAGTCACACTAATGCAGAGTGTCTTCAAACAACACTGTATGTCTATTTGTAACGATACCCAAACTGCTCTGGATCTCAAATAAATCCACTTCGAAGATAGTCGCAACTGAACACTGCGCAGAAACAACTAATCTCAGAAAACTTTTAGGACCAAGTGGAGAGGTAAAATGACCAGAAAATTCAGAAAAGTTTTTCGTCGGGTTCTCAGATATGTTGGAGAGAGAAACTCTGAAGATGGAATGAGAAGATTCAAAGAAATTAGCGCGAAGGCGGAAAAACAGACAGTGAATGTTCTTGAAATGTTCTGGAACAAAATAAACAACCGAACTGGAGGCAGGCTTATTTTTCTTGACCGGTCGCGGTGAAGGTTTGCCCTTCTTGATTGTTCTCTTCTCTAGCTTCTTCTTAGGCCTATAAATAAAAAGTATACTCTACTTCGTTGCGTACGAAGGGGCGGTCAGGCAGTATGAGCAGCGAAAAACTAGTTCTCCGCCACTTTTCGAAGCGGGTATGCTTGGTAGAGAACGAGTGATACGAACGATATGATACAGCCTTGTCACTTGCTCGTTTCGACAGCTGTGGAGAACGGGTCTGGCATTGGCCAGGATTCATCCGCCTGACAGCCGTTCGTCCGCAGGCGAACCACACTATAAATAAATCCGCTCTGAAAACAGGGCACGCCAATTGTGTTTGTGATCATTTCCTGAAAAATACGACCCCCCCCCTAATTCTATTCTTCAGTACGACCCTCCCAATACGTTACCCTCCCAAAAGTTTCTGGTTTTTTTACAAAATTTTGGCTGTCGAGCGGGGGGTCGCAGTACCTACATACGTCCCAAGCCGCCCAGCACTCTGGCGCTGGTGTAGCATACTGACAATACGTACGACGAAGGGCGATGATAGGAGCTACAATCACCGCCCACAAGGCCCCATGAATTTATAAACAAACAAGTGACTCACGACATGAACGATCAATAAACAGATGAAAGTACATTGCCGGACTTTTCTGATCGTAGGAGCACATGTGCTTGCACTTGGGAAGCCCTATCTAGAAGTTACACCTTTCTAAACCTGCGTGAAAGCCCATGCATGGCGCATTGCACAGGTGATGCCAATTGGCGCCCAATGGCCTATTACCTGATATGCTTGACAAAACATGTGTTTCAGAAGCATACCAAACTCTACAAGCAACTGGAGGTTTCATGGCCTCGGAGGAGTTGATTTTTCGGTGTCTGGGGGGTGATTACAAAATGATCACAACGGGGAATTTTTTCGAATAATAGGTCTAGGAAGGAAACTAAAAGCTTGCTGGAAAGTAGAAATCTTCAAGCTTCGGCACAGTTCTTTTTTTTACAAAAGGTCTTGTATGAAGCTTGCCATGGACGTCCAAAAGCGTAGCGACTCGCGGTTCGCAAAAGTGATCACAGAATGGATCACAAAGATGATCACAACGGGGAAAATCTCTGGAACCGGAACGTTTTTGAAATCGCTCAATTCAGGTGACGACAGCCAACACTAGCTCTACTCATTCTCACTTACCCCTCTCGCTGGCTTCACTTTCAACGAAGTTATGGGTGTTCAAATGAGGGGTATTTTTTCACGTGTTTGGCTTGAAATTGGCTCCAACCGTTAAAATAGCGCGCACCAATGCGCTTGTATGAGCGCGCTGACCGCGAACAGCCAAAATTCAAAAGTAATCCATGGTTTCGGTTCTCAGCTGAGCGGTGAGTTTTTTCTTATTCATTTTATTGTTTACTATGATTTTTGTTTTTGTTGAGTTTGATTTTGCTTTGTGAGTTTGTTTTTGTTGTGAGGAAATTGCTCAGGATTTCAATTTCTACGGTTTCATAGGTAGCTTTGCAATGGAATTTTTTCCAGATTTGCGGAATAGTGGATCGGGGTTTATCTAGATCAGATGAGGAGGATTGGTGGGTGGAGTGTCTTGAAGTTTTTTTGTGAGGAAGGAGGAAAAGTTTCAGCAATATTTTTTTTAGTTTTTGGCCTAGGAATAGTTCGATAGTGCCTAGTTCTATTTATTGTCATCTACATCGTCCCTTTTGAGCTTCTTTTACTTGTACCGTGTATCACCGCTCTCTCCACTTCAACATGGGCCATTGCGTTTACGACCCCCCCCCCCTGCATCGCGGGCAAATACGACCCCCCTGTTGTGATGATCACAAAGATGCGTGCCCTGTCTGAAGAACAGCAAGTGAGAAAAATGGAACGAAAACTTTGGAAGCTCACTTTTTGTTAAGTCAGCTTTCTTCCGAACGTCACTGTTAGCTTTGTGACTTTGACTCTAAAAGTTATCAAATGATCCGCTTCATAAGGTACATGTATAATACATCCACTCCACCTGCTTGATTTGCTCTTCTTCATCAATGGATTGAGCCTGTCCCTTGATCGACGCTCGTTAAGGGCAGTCCTTAAACTTATTCCATGTTGAATTCTTGTTCAAGTAACAGTGACAGCCGTAAAACCAGACGTCTGCCCCCTCTATTGTACCATGAATCTTCTGTCAACTTGAGCGTCAATTAAGGCTGTCATACTTCTACTTCACTGCACTGACTAAGCGAAAATTAGGAAACAGTATGTTAAAGACCAAATATGGCAAGTTCGGCTTCTTGGGGGCGTTTTGTTGGTCACCACCGATCATGACCCCATGCCTCCTGTGGAGACCTGTAACGTCCTGTGACAAGATACTACAGGTCTCACCAAGGTGAGACCTAACTTCAACGAGAATTAGCAAAAGGAAGTAGTGAGTGCAATGCCCCTCCCGAGCCAAACAGAGTCATAAATATGTTTATTACTACTCCTACACTTCGCAATATACATATTTATTTAGTTATTTATCCATTTGTTTATCTTACCTGCATTTCGCTTTGCGTTTTGATGGCTTCACAGAATCACGTTTTTCTTCAGCCACTCTTTTTGAGAGACACGGTTTGTTGCTGAAAAGAAGTAGTAAAAAACAAAATTAATATTACTCGAAATAGAACATCTGAACATTCTAAACTACGACGTCTTTCACGTTCTAAGCACAGAACCACAAGACCGTTCTTTCCCAATTGCTACGTTCTAAACAAGACTATTGGCGCTGTTCGGCTTAGGAGGGGGATTTTGCATTTTCGCTAGTGCTTTTCGCGTTGATGTCAACTAAGGACTAACAGGTCTGGTGGGACGTGTAAACCAGTGCGAACTGCAAAATAGTACAAGTGAGTCCTGTCACCCAAGCTGCTTGTGTACAGGTCTTCACAAGAAGAAATGTAGAGCTTCGTTCAGTAAAATTTGATGTCCCCTCCTAGCGAAACTGCGCGTCCTTCGAGAAACACGTCACACGAATTCTGGATGAATTTAACAGAACTCACTCTTTCTTCAACAGTGACTTTCCTCGAGATTTTGGAGTGTCCGCATATGGTGTAGCGGCAGTTCTAGAGAAAAATTGCTGCACAACTTCATTCTCTTAGGTTAAATCACTCAACCGTACCTGCTTCTTAATATGCGAGGCTGCGGCTCAGTGTTAGCATGTTGAGTAGCAGCATGTTCGGTAAGCGCAGAAACTGAGCTGAAACTGACGCTTGAAGTAAACCAATGCCATATAAATAGACCTGGGACCTCATAAAATTAGGATTCAGAGCTGTGCTGGCACGAGGGCTCAATTTTATTGCTTGACAGCAGAGTAAAACGTCGAATTTGTAATTGCAAACGCTCCTAAAAGTACCGAACCAAAGAATAACACCACACGAGCACCAAAGAACCGAAACCCGGAAACATTGCGACGGGAGTTTCAAAGCCTCCCAAAAAGCTTCACGAAATGATCTCGCGGTATATTTTCACGATTGCCACTTGTGTCAATATCAAAAACGTAGACGCGACACTCCCGGGATTGTGGTGCGGCGAATTTCCCCTGGTTAGGACGGATTTGTGCCGAGTTGGTTGAAAATGCTCATTAGTAAAGACAATTCCTGCGAAGTCAAGTGGATCAGCGAAATGCCTCGTGTGTATTTGGGCATTCGTTGCCCGTACTTAAACACAGAGAATATCGCAATTTCTTCACTCGAAATAACAGAGCTAGACGACCGCGTGAGTTTTTCAACCGGGTGCAACTTGCGTACCTGCTAACACGCAAAGACAATGGCTTAAAGCGCCGAACAGGAGGCTTACAAGCGTTCCTTGGCAGAGTCGAGGGCCGATCTCCCATGCTTTTACCGGGACTGCGTCCCACCTAGAAACCCTGGCTGATCGGGCTTGCCCTCATAGTTCGTCAAGCGCCGTCCCCATCAGTAGGGTGGGGTCTGTCTCAGGGTGTTCACAAACTTCTTTTCCGCTGCTTTATCTGACTACTGATGAGTTTTAAGTGGCTACTAGTTACGATGAACTAAGCAACCTCCTACCTGTTACATTTGATACGCGGGAATTTCTTGAGTAAAGAACTACCATAATAAGAATAGTGTATGGGGCCCGAGCAGTGAGGCATATTCGACCTTTTGTTCTGACTTTGCGAAGCTTCCTGCTACTCTGGGACGGTTTGTGGCGAAAAACGACGTCTTGATCTGCTGACCTGCATATTCAAACGACAAATTTTCTGAGCCTATAGTACAAAGTCCTCTGGCTATTCAAAAAAAAAATAGAATGTCACGCTCACTTAGTCGGCACACTCCTTCTTCTTTCGGTTACGGTGTTACCGCGAGAATTATAATGACGTTCTGAAACAACCACATCGAAGAATATCTATACTGACTAGACAGGCACATCACGTCTTCTAGAGCAAGATTGCGACCCACCTTGCTTCTCAGTTCACGCGGTTGTGGCTCAGTGCAAGGAATCTGCTTCCTATTTGCCCGCCAAGTACTTTTCTCCGGCCTGAAAGGATGTCTGTCGAAACGAAAATGACGGTGGTTAACTCACGACACTAAGAATTCATCCAAGCAGATATCCATACCAAGCAAATCTAAGGGAAACAAAGCTTGTACCAACAAACATTAGCAGTTTGCCAAACAATGTTGAAGGCTAGATGCCGGTCTCAGACGCGCTCGACATTTGCCTACAAAGCGCTCTGCCAAGGGCTAAAGCCCAAAAGATAATCGTAGTGTTCAACATTATCGCCAGCGCCAAGAACGAGTGACATGATTCGTAGTCAGAATGTTAAAGTATCCCGTGTACTAACGAAGTGGTCTACGGTATTTGCTGATCTAGGCACTTCATAAATGAGCTTGTAGCCAAAGTCGAGCGCGTTCAAATGGCATCAGTCGTGAAAAAGAATGCCGCATTATTGCGCAGCTTGCGCTACCCATTGCCTTACACTCTTTATTTTCTTGAGATGCGGGCGTATTCGGGGGGGCCTGGGACTGCATGAAAGAAAAGCTTCGGACTGGTATCAAAATGCATATATAACTTTTCACTACCTGTTTTTCAGTTCACGTTTCTGGAATTCTTCCAGTTCTGGCTCCTCTTCACCATGGGTTCGATACCAGCGAATTCAGCAACGGTAATTGCCATTTTAACTCCACAGAATACCCATAACGTAACTGAGGCCATCTCAATCGATATTGCATAACTAGGGAGTGATGAAAACCTGAAAGCTGACCTCTGAAAAGAACGTAAATCATCATGAACCTACCGTACGTGAACTCGAAGCTTTCGAAACTCTGTGAATACCACAGGCTAGAATAGAAACCACTCTGGAGAGAACTATTAGATGTTCAATTAATGTATAACAAAGATCCCCAGAATTGACAATATCGCACTCACCCTACTTTCAGCTCACGCATTTCGGGCTCGTCAGAGTGAGACTTTACCCTCACCATATTCTGAGAATGTCCGGAAGTCGTACTGAAACTGCTTGTCAATATGAAGAAAAATTGGCTGCCAGTGAAATCTCCAATTCATAATTGGCACATGATAATTATCGGCACCTAAAGGACCAGTTAGACCAGTTAACTACTTCCTCATTCCTAGTGCTTTAGGTGACATTATTTCCTTCTAACAACACACTACAGCAATATTACAGTCTTGTTCGCTGCAGATGAAGGGGCGTGTCAGGTGGGATGGGTTAGGCGCGGCGCCAGACCCGCTGTTGAAGCAAGCAAGCGGGAAGACTAAATCATATCGTTTGTATCAACTCGTTTCCACCAACTTTTGTCGCTTACCCGCCTCAATAACTGATGAGTATAGTGCGTCGACTGCTGTGGTGAGAAACACCAAGATATCATGAACTACCACCTTAATTGCCATACCCATTCGAAGGACAGGAATGCTAAAATGCTGCTGCAGCGGATATCGAAAGCGGAATGGATAAGTACGTTTCTGGTAGTCGAACAAAAGTACCATGAAGCTACACTCAATACTCATTTCGATTATGAGAGAAGGAATATGCAGGATTACATGAGCCTCACCCTCTTTCGCATTCTGGTTTGCTTCCATATCCTGGAGCTGTCGTAGGTTGTTGTGCTACAGTCCTGTAAGAGAATATCAAATGATTTTGACAAAACGTCAAGTGCACATCTATCGTCTTCTCGTACCTGCTTCTTAATCTGCGTATTTCTGGCCACTCAATAGGCTCTTCTTTTATCACGGTTTGGGAAAGTTCAACTTTCGTACTGAAAGTTATCAAGTTTAAGAGGAAGCGGTTAAGATCGAGTTTAGACCCAAGTCCCGCGCTCTGGCAATGTGCAGACGCCTTGCTTGAACAAGGTAGTCGTATCGCAAACACAGAGTATATACCACTCTTACGAATTAAAAATACGTAATAAGGACGCTACCTTCTCATGACGAGGCACGTCCCGCCCTCTGAACCGCGCAACAACCAACGTTCATTTCTTACGGCTTCCTGGTAGTGCGGTGGTTTCGCCACTACTTTTTCCTTTCGGTATGGTGAAACTAAAAGTGAAAAAGGGAAAAGAACTGACATCGTCACGGACTAACAAGCGGGATCTCGTCCAAGCATGCCGTGTCTTCTCGCCATACTCGCAAGAGTTCAGAATTCACAAGTGCGCTAGCATGGAAACCTAGGCTCGAAAATGTGTGTTAGAGAATTCTCGCGATCAAGAATTATGAGTAGCCGGCGTGCAATTATGAACCAAGACAAGGGACTCTCCACTGGAGGAGAAACAAGAAATACATTGAGAACACCTCAAACTAAACCCCTGCACGACAGTCACACAGGTTCATTGTACGAATTCTCCGGACTTGTCGGCGACTCGACACCCTGCGGCCTCTGCGCAAGCCTTAGTTTATTTGCACCCTACGTACTATCTACCATGGTATCTACCATGTAGGATTAAGAAAAAAAGGGTAAAACAAAAAAGAAACGGAAAATAGCAGTCTAAAGCTCTGTCCCCGAAATTAGAACTACATTAAGAATGAGGGACGCAATGCAGACGGGCTTCTGGGCCAAATCAATTGCATCGCTGCTGGATTTGAGCAGCGCCCAAAACATATTCCTTTGGAAGGTGGACTGCCACTAACTATCCAATTAAAACAGAACCACTCGTGAGCTCACAAAAGAGTCGAAAAGTTACGATTCTCATCAATGAGCATGGAAAATTTCCCTACAACGCTCCAGGCAACACAATGCACACACTTAATCCCGCGTGTAAACGTTGTATTGCAGAGCGAAAATAATAATGGTTGCAACAGTAAGAGTCAGCCTATTTAAGTCGCCATTTCGGGTGGCGGAAGTGGTACATTCTCTGCAGTGTACTCGAACGCCAGAGGCATGGGGCATTTCTCAGCTCACTTAATCGCGGCAAATGTCTTTAAGGAAATAAACTTACGTCTTGTCAATAGCCTCTCCAGATAGCACTGACCCACCAGCTGATGAATGGCTTTTTATTGAGCCAGCCTTGGCCCCATTTCCCAATCGCACTTTCTTTGATTTTCTACCACTATTAGAAACCATTCGTCTTGAAACACTCCTGAAATAAAGAAAGGGTTTGACACAACTCTGAGAATTCACTTCAACATAACAAGGTATTTCTGAAGGCAATAGTAACTTTGATGCTATTCCGTACTATTCTTCTACATAAATGCACATACGAGAAGGAGGGAGATTGTTTGGGATTGTGAGAGGCCATGCATTTAGCAGTAAACACGGTAAGCAGGAGCGTGGGCTTGAAGACCTGGGCAGCGGCAGCATGTAGCAACTAGCCTTTAGTTTCCAGCTAGGTGGCTCGACGTCTGTACCACTTTCAAGTTCAAGTGATTGGGTCCCGGCGCGAATGCCAAAAGCGTTTCTTGCACCGCGCTGCCGCTAGTTGCGCCGGTCTGCGGAACTCAATAGAAAACTTCACTGATCATATGTGGGAGTATAGAATCATTCACTTTGTTCAACACGCCAAATTTCGCTCGTATTCGCGAAGTATAAATATCGCTAGTCTGGTAAGAAGGGACATTTGAGTTGGTGCTCTTGCGAAATTGATAGGAAATTAGGATTTCTAGTAAAGTGGGGAAGAAGGAGCTGCGGGAACGTGGTAAACTAAAATTTTTGTAAAAAAAAGGGTTTTCCATTACGGCAATCCTGATCTGTACAAGGAGGCCTCTGACAGTCCCAGTTAATGGGGATAACACCCGCACCATTCTTGAGGGAGCGATAACAAGTACGAAAAGGCCAACAAAATTAAGTATCAACTTGTCACTAAACCCCCCGCCAAACAGTTCCGAATCGATAGGCTATGTGATTTTCAGGTTTGAACGCGATTCCACTGATCAGAACAGGTCAGCTCATAGCGAGAACGGGTGGTGGTCTATGGGCGGACTGGCGTGACATCATGCGCAAACCACAATAAATATAGCTCATGTCCGAAGGCTAGAAGGGGCGTGGCTGCGAGCGCTAAGAATTGAGACGGAAGGGCGGCGGAGACGTGGGTGCTAACAAAGTTGGTGGAGGACACTCAACCGTGCCCTTGTGGCTCATTCACTAACCAAGGTTTAGCGTGAAGCCGTCAGGGATAGTCTTACAGAAAAGACATAGAATTTGGGCAGAGGCGCTGCCGAGTGCTCCCTCCCCGACTACTTTGGCGCCGAGACATACACGATTAAAAATTTGGGAAAACCGACGGGATACACCGGGAGTCGCGCATGAAATGGTATATGTGGGCTCAGCGCAGCTCGGTTGGTACATTTCACCATAGATCCGGACCTTTACGCGCGCTCGCGCGAGTCGGTTAGTTCTGGGATGAAGCCAGAAAACGAGAGCGGCGCTACTTCTGCTTTCCACCTGGTCACGGGCTTCCTAGGCGAAAACTCAGTGGTACTATGTGCCCTCGCCGCTTCTACGCACTCAGTTATACGCGCAGATCGGGATACTGTATCCCGCCTGTTTTCCTGAGCCAGTAATTTGATAAGACACGTCTATGAGGATGGTCGACATATGAATACGTAGCCATCGCCGACTCAGGTGGTCAACTAATTTGTGTAACTAGGCGACGTCTACCATCCTACTTTACCCGGCAGTAATCGATCGAGCGTTCGCAGACGGTGATCGATCGGCATCGACCGTCTATGGCTGCGCTTGCGTAAATAGCTATGGAGCGCTGCAGTAATTGTAGCGCGACGACGCGCGTTAGGCTGCATTTATACTTTGCGGCAGCGTAGCGTAGCGCTTCCAGCGTACGCCAGCGGCAGTGTCAGGGGAAGATAGATATCGATCTAGCGTTCCCAGCGCACGCTAGCGTAGCGAGGGCACGGGAAGCATAGCTATCGATCTAGCGCTCTCAGCGTTCCACGAGCGTTTCGCTAGCGTTTGCAGCGGCGGGGCTAGAGAGTATAGAAGAGTAGGAAGGTACAAAATACTCCCTACTCTTCTATACTCCCTAGCCACGCCGCTGGCAAACGCTAGCGAAACGGTAGTGAAGCGCTCGTGAAACGCTGGAAGCGCTGCGCTACGCTGCCGCAATGTATAAACGCAGCCTAACAGCGCATTAGAGCGCATCACGCCCATATCTGCACGCGGCCTAAGATATGGGCTGCAGCTAGTTGACTCAAAATAGCAAACAGACGTCAAAGGCCACGATGGCATAGCTACACACCGCTTATGGTCACTAAAAGATTGAGCATTCGATGCTCTGTTTAGGCATCATTCTGGCAAGAACACGAGTATCACATTCAATATCCACGGTTTGATTAATTGATGCGGATTGGTTTGATTGATTGATTGATTAAACAATGGTGGGCTCATGTCATTTAGTGGTCCCTCAGAACGAGAGAGCGGATAGAAAGACCTCTAACTGCGGACCTCTGCTGCACTTGCGGCCCATGATAACAATAATCTTACCCTCGGTTTCAAGTAGGCGCGTGCTGCCAGCAGGTCCGACGCAGGAGGAGCAAGCTTAATGTGACTGTTGTTGTGTGGAACAGAAGAACAGAAAGACAACTAGAGCGTATGGTTCTGTCCTGAAATCATTATAGTCCTGGTTGCTGCAAGACCAAAGCGCGTCTCACTTGGGGATGAGTTTGGCGCCAAAAACCCCACACTCTGTTGAAGTGAGCATGTGACCAGACTACTATCATCTCGTTATCATTCATTTTGTTAGCCCAATATTGTCTATATCAGTAGAATCGCCGGCTGTCGCTGCGGGCAATTTTCCTTTCGCTTTGTGATGTGTGTACTGCAAGAGTTTTTCCATGTCAAGGCAACGGATCGTCGACAAAAGTGAAAGAGAAATTTTTTGTTTAAGATTTCCAACCTGTTTACCGTTTCATTCGGTTGTGCGCATACCCCCGCTACAAAGACAGTATAGTCGCTGGAAATTTATATATGAAGCACCTCTTTTATTGATTGAGGTATTAGCAGAAAGAACTATTGTAGACGCACCATACGGTCTGGTACACATAAGCGGTCCCTGCGTGTGTATCTTTCTGACTTCTTCGTGCCAGGCCGATGCTTCAGGGCCATGGGTCAGGGTCCATGGGTGCTTCAATTATCGAGATTTTAAGAAATTTCGTAGCAAGTGCCGCCCATCTGGTGGTAGCTCGCGTCCACTATTGGTGTCCTTCCAAACCTCGTCGCTAACATGGTTACCTATCTCTCGAGCTTAAATCAGCTTTCCGCCGCTCATTCTAGAACGGGCCCGAAACAGTAATTTTTTTGAGATTTGATGGTCTGGTCAAGGGCAAGCGCCCGCCCATACCACCCTTGACATTGCCTCCTCAAACTATCTCTTGCCGTTGATGGCGAATTTCCAGCATGCGAGGAAAAGAGACTGCATTCTGGGCTCGGAGTCGCAGCGTGGAGATGAGCGTTCAGTGGTGTCAAAGCCGCTTGCGAAATTTCTATTCCATCCTTATAGAAAGACTGCGTGGAAACAGGGGTCTTATTGAGGGTAGAAAAGATCTAAGGTGGCGTCTCTGGGGAACTTGCGGGCCCGACCGCTTCCCAGCATCGTTTTCCCATCCCGGTTCCCTCAATGCCCTTGCAAATGGACTTCCATTCTGCTCGAGTCCGCTCAAGGATGGATTGCCAGGCAGTGTTCGGAGCCCTTTCAAAATTTGTGCCTTACGATCGTCTCCCTAAGCGAGATGAGGGAAATGGGAAGGAAGGCCTATAAGGCGGCGGGGGGGGTAGTTAGGCGACATGGAGGAAGAGGCACGCTGAATCTTCTGTAGCATGCATAAAGCCTGATGCAGTGCGGAAATCGTGGCGCCTTGAGCAAACGCTACGGTGGCACCTTTTCCAAGAAATGGGAACGATGTATGGCGCTGCTACCGAAAGCTGCAAGCCTGCTGCAGGCCCATCGCAATCTCGCGCCGTCCACTGAGATGTTCTGATCGCGATGGCTGGTGCTCACGTAATGCGCTTCATTTGCGAAGTACATATAGAAGCGATTACGATAGCGATCAATATGAGTACATACATGCAGTATGTATATATGTATAACGTAGCGTTATATTAGGTTGTTCGAAAAGTACATCTTTGTTGATTTGGTTCTAGAAAAGAACAAAGTCATTTTTATTCCTGGTTAGTGGGGACTGTCCTCTGATGTTTTGCTGCAGCATGGATTCTCCTGACTTTGTGACCTCTAGGCTCTACGTGACTGAACAACTGCTGATGCTTCTCAGCAATTTCGAGTTATTGGAAAAATTTTGTGGAAAGGTGCGCTGCATGAGTTAGACCCTTTGACAAGTCTACCGAATTGACCGTTTGACTGAGTTTTCTTTTCTTTGTACACAGGCGAAAGAACTTTTTGTGAGATCTTGTGGTTGTAGCGAGTGATGAAGGTCCTTGCGTACATCATGCACATGTCCTTTGGCAGGATCCTCAAACAGAGGTAACTGCCTTCAGCGCAAAAGAAGATGTGGATGGATATAAGATTTCAGTGTGTTATTGGTGCGACTTCTAATGCGGTATCACATGGGATAGGACCTTGAAAGGACACGCACGTTGTAGAGGTCCAAACGACTCAAAATATGGATAGACGTCACGCTTGGAATTTCATTCAGAAAATACTCAATTTTTCTCTACTACTGCGGCAATGCGAAGACCGATGTGGGGATCAGACTACGCCAAAGATCATTGATTTCGATCAGAGGAATGCGAGCCGTATCCAGGTTATTTCGCGCAAAGTTAGCAGCTCTAATTACCAACCTCCTTCAGTCCCATATCGCATCCGTTAAAAGGCAAAAAAACTCCGCAAATCGACCTCAATCGAGAATGAAGTGTCCACCTTCTCTTTTTATCATAGTTGCCGGTCGTTCTGTGAGAATGGAAATGGGAAGCTTGCTGCAAAGACCGGGCATGAGTTCTAGTCGATCAACTGTGGTTTACGCTTGTAGATTAGAGATATGTCTTTTAGTGACGATTCCGATGAAAATTTTGGTCAAAGTGTTCGGCATTACTTTTCGAACAAGCCTAATAGGCATGATGCTCTTGGAACTCGATCCGACTTGGCCTATGGGACGTAT